AATAACATGAAATGAAGAAAATATGGTAGTAATACAGAAAGACAAGTGATCACAGAGGACTTTATCACTCGCTTCTATTTTTATCACCAAAATAAAGTCATCATAGGAAATAAGTTAAAAGAGAAATTGGTTTATGAACTAAATTATTCAAATAGACCTGCAGTATTTTTCATGGTGATTGTCTATGGGCCGGGTCTACCATTAAGTATGAATGTCGGGTCTTGATTGAATTGATTTAATATTTAGACATCATGACCTCTCCATTTGTGACAGTTTTCTAATTTTGCTACAACATGTTGGTATGCTATATTTTTCTTTATGTTGACCAGTCTGCTGATAACCAGGCTAGTCGGTCACACCAGCAAAGTCAGGATGTTTTGGACAAATTACGGGCAGTCATCTCGGACAAGGACAAAACCATCAGTGTATGTTCCCATCTTTATTGTCTCTGTCAGCAATATCCTTGTTGATCTATAACAAGATAATGTCCCACTTCATGCTTGTGTGTGTGAGAATTACAGTATTTTACATGCAAACATGGCCTATAGAGAATAGTGACCCTTTATTAAATTGCTAATGGGTCCTGTAAACAAGTCATTTACATGTTGTTTATAATACTGAAAAAGTAAAGAGTGAGAGGTAAGTCTACATTGGCCAAAGACTTCAATCAGGAGCTGTGAGTTTGTAACAGATGAGTCAGTAATGAGCTGTGTATTTAATAGATAAAGAGCAAGTGGTTGGATGAAAGTCAATAATCTGAGTGAAGAATGAGTCAATAATAGGCGATGTATCTGTAATTGGCAACATCAGATAATGGGCTACAAGTTTGTATAGGTGATGAGTCATAAATGTGATGAGAGTTTATATTACTTTGGGTATCAAGTTAATAGGTTAATTTGAGTTAAGAATTATTTGATTATATGTTGAGTGTTTGAAATGGGTAATGAGCAAATAATGGGTTGTGTTTAGTAATTAGTGTTGAACCGGTTTTCAGTTTAAGATTAAAATCAAGGTTTCAACAATTGTTTTTTTCAGAACTAAGAGCACTTGATATGATCTCTTGATATTACAATTTTCATCTTTTATGTGTTGCATTATTTCAGACACTGCTGGACAGTGTCCAGGAGAAGGACAAAGTGAATGGACAGCTCAGGCATGACCTTCAGAGCAAGGATGGTACGTAAACGAACTCGGAGAAAAATTTCCTTAAGTAATTAGTTTGAAGATAATGTAACAATTGTAATAGGTACTTTTGCATGCCACACTTCAGATTTAATGTCCCTGTTGTGTCCCACAGACCTGGTGGATAAGCTTCAGACGCTGTTGCGCCAGTCTCAGACAGGCTCCAGTGCAGACCTAAGTGCCAAACTCCAGGAGCTACAGATAGAGCTTGCTGTAAAAACCGAGGGGTTGAGGAATGCCAGACGTATGGAAGAGGACCTGCGAGAGCAGATTGTAAGTATTCTCCAAAAAATAGCTTATCATAATTCTTTGAATTTTAAAGTTGAGCTTTGCAGTGTAAAATTGTAATTTATTGGGGTTTAGTTGCTTGTTCAAAAAAGAAACATTTCAGAAGACACCTTAAAATTAAATCCATGAGAACCTCTTAATGAAACCTTCTATAAAACCCCTAGAGGAAGCCTTCTTTACGAGCATCTGATGAGAAAACTGTTTTGTTGCTTCCCCGGAAGATGTACTATAATTTGCTCAGTTTAAAAAATAGTTCTGGTTTGACTTGCAGCAGGAGCTGAAGCAGAAGTTAAACAGTGTGCCCCAAGGTGACCGGGAGTACCATACCCTGGAGAAACAAATATACTACCTCAAGGACAAACTGGAGGGTCAGGGCTGGACACCAGGAGGCAGCAGTCCAGGGTCACCAGGGGGCAGCAGTGCAGGGTCAAATGGTCAGCAGGTAAGAAGAGCCACTCCTACTAAAGAAAATACTATTACTGTTGTAAGCTTTTCTTGTTTCTTCAATGAACAAAAAACTTTTGGTAAATATTTTTTAAATGGGCTTATTACTTAGCAACTGTGCCATGTAAAAATAAAAAGTATTAAAGAATATAATAGACTAAGTGATGTTGCCACTTTATTGTTAGGTCCTACTGCAGGAGACATTGCAAGCCCAACTTGAAGAACTTAGGAGGTTGAATGCAGCAGTGCAAACAGAGCAACACCTTCTGGAGAGTATCAGAGACAAGAGTCAGGGGAGGTAAGCATGTTATGCTTTTTAGGCTGGGTAGGGTAACTGGATGCAAGATCAGAAGATGTTTAAGTATGCCATACAGGAGTTGGGCGAGTTTAACTTGACAAATTGTGGAGTGGTCAACAAATTAAGCATGGGGGTTCAATACAAGAATCAGAAGAGGTAAGCATGTCATATTTACCAAATATGGCAGGAATCAGAAGGATAAGAATGTTGTGTATACTAGAAACTATCTGCGGACATGAGTTAGGGGAGGAAAGCATCTTAACCCTATGGACAGGTATCAGTTGCCACAAGTAAGGGTAGATAAGCATATTACACTTAAATCATGTTTTCAGTAGCCATGAGTAAGGGGAGGTAAGCATCTTAACCCTATGGATAGGTATCAATATGTGATACCAAAGTTTATACAATTTCTTCACATCGTTGTATAGGTAAAAAATACAATTTACTCACTCAGTCATAGTTTGACAAAGGGACCAGTCGGTCTTGAAACATTGTGACACGTTGTTTGTGTAGAAAGTAAAACTTTGATATAACTTACAGTTGCCACGAGTAAGGGGAAGTAAGTATGTTGCGCTTACATC